TTAAGGCACAAAACTTAACAGATTTGCAAGACAAAATTTTGTTGACAAATCCACGACGGATCTCGAAACGTCAGGCAAATAAAAGTATTGTACTAGTGATCGAGTCGTCTTCTTCTCAATTCTTTGGATATCAACGAACGTTGGATTTGGACCAATTCTGCCCCTATTTGCCACCAGTATACTGATCCGAAGTAAAGTATGTTCTAGTAAACAACATTTTGCGCTCTAAGTCAACTTAATGAACAAAATAAACAACCTCCGATATACGCTAAATCCCCCACTCAAATTTTATCAGACGTACAATCTACTGCATGTATGGACGCAGTCAACACTAGTGCTGGCTTTGTCAGTGGCTACTACTGTCCGAGACAGCAGTGGAGGGTTCTGTGCATAATAATACCCCCATTCTGCTGGCTTTTTTCCTCTCCTACAACCTGGGAGCTAGCCTGATGATTTTAGAGATCTGAGTACACCCAGTACCTAGACCCCTACAACCTAAAGATCCTGCAGTGTCTGTCACAGAAGCACATTCCGGAACGCTTATACAACGCTTAAAGAGGACACCGAAGCCTTCTATGCTTTGAAAAACGTACAAAGGTGTTAGGACAACGTTATAAATTAGCCGATTCTGGATCCGCTTGGATCGGACTCTGCAATCTGGCGGTTGCGGTGAATTCTGCATATCCAGGATCGGACGCAACGCAGTGTTTTCTTTGTGGACTTTGCAATGTTTATCCAGGTGATCACTGGCTACTTACCCAGCCGGTGTTTGCCCAACGATCGTAAAATCAGTGAGAAGGCATATTTGGCCATAGATTTCCTGCAAATCATCCACGAAACCAAGACGGCAAAACAAACTAACCCGTGATACAATTGGTTCTTTCAATTTGTTACTAGCAATGGAGGTCCAGTCCATTTCGACGGCATTGGGATCACCGGGAGAGCAGGGGGTCCACAAGTCATGCACGATCACATCCTTATTGTCTGGAGAGGGTCCACTCACCTACCAAGAGCAGAGGAGAGATGCAAGTGACGGAAATAGAAAAATACCCAAAGGCAGATTACGCAAGTGCACTCTCCTATTAACAAGGCAAAACATGAACTCCCCATTAGGTCATACAGAGGAAGCCACTGGCATGTAACTGAATGTCTCCCCCGAGTTGTAAGCCACGGGACATGGGTCCATAACCCAAATGGGAAAGCAACTGCTGTTAAAATGCTCGACAGTCAGCTGATTCGAGTTCAA